GGTGTGGGGGTGCGCGGGGAGCCACCCGCCTCACAGCCCGCCCCCTCCCCCGCCGGCGCGGGGTGGAATAGCGCGCTGCGAATTTACCAATTAATTAATAATTGACATTTTATGTAGTCCTATTATTTGTTACTTAATGCTTAATTTTTTTCATAATGAATTAAAACAAAATCTCTTTGCAGCGTCTTACCTTTTAATACCGGATACGCCATTAATGGAGTCGTCGAAGTCAAAACAATTGTTGCCCCTCCTGAGCGGGGCGGGACTAGAGGTGAGCGGGAGGCCGGTCTTGGAGTGGAACACCATGGAGGCGGCGGAGTCGAATCTCCAGCGGAACCTGTCCACCTCCGTGGGAGAGGGCACCTGGTGCTCGCTCCGAGGTTCGGGGAACTTGAACCCCTCCCGGTCCGAGATCTCCTTGGGGGACTCCGCGTCGCATCTGTCGAACGAGCCGTAGTCGCAGTTCTCGTAGAGAACGTAGTCCTCGTTGATCGAGTAAGTCTTTTGTCTCTTGGCTTCGGGTTTGGGCACGGAGAAGACGGTGTCGTCGTCTCTCAGATTCAATTCTTCTATGTCCTTCTCCCTGTGGTCGGCCTCCCGCCCCCGCTGCGTCCTGTCCGCCACGATCTTCTCTATCCTGTCGACGACGGGGAGGAACCGCCGCAGCTTCGGCCGCTTTATGATGGACTCGTCCCCGGACTTATCACTAATACTACCGTTTACTAAACTATCTATATCACACGTTAAATTACTGCTAGGATTATCACATTTGTGCTTCTTCAGCGCCTTATCGTCTTCCTCGCGCTTCCTCCGCGCTCCGTTCTCCTTGTCCGCCGCCGCCAGGTCGTAGCTGCCTTCCGACCTGACCATGCCCCGGTCGCAGCTCCCCTCCGACCTGATCACATCCCGTTCGCAGCTGCTCTCCGATCTGACTATGCCCCGGTCACAGTTATCCTCCGACCTGACCGTGCCCCGGTCGCAGTTACCGTCGGTCGTGACCATGTCGAGGTCGCAACGACCCTCCGACTTAGTCATACCGCGGTCGCAGTTTCCCTCCGACCGAGTCATGCTCCGATCGCAGTTTCCCTGAGACCTAGTCATGACCAGATCGCAGTTTTCCGACCTGACCATGTCCCGATCGCAGCCGTTCTCCGATGTGAGCATGCCTCTGTTACAAGTGGTGCACTGCATCTGCAGCACGGCGCCGCACTGACAGGCAATATCGTCCGTCTGTGTGGACACCGTGTTGCTCTTCCTGAACTCCGTGGGCGGAATGCACTCAGTTTCTACAAAGGGAGACTTGCTCTCGATCCTGGTGGCCGGCAGCGTGAGATACGTCTGGTTCCTGTAGCAGCCGATGGCGCGGAACCTGTCGAAGCGCGCGGCCTGCAGGATGGGGATGGAGGTGTGCGTGGTCTTCAGCTCGCCCTCGGAGGACGTGCTGTCGCACAACTTCTTGAGCTTGCTCTCCTTCCTCAGCCTTCTCTTGTACTTGGCTATCTCCTTGAGCCGTCTCTCGTCGAGCTTCGTCGTCTCCTGCGGACTTACGCTAATGGAAGATCTATGATTCCCGTCGGATTCCTCGTCGCAATTGCATTTGTGTTTTCCGTTTTCACTGCATGGGGTCAGCATTCTGTCGTCGACTATATTACATTTATCGGTATCCGAATTGGAGGTGTAGACGTATCCCGCGGAGGTCGGGTTCGAGGCGAGGGAGTTGCGACGCTGGAGGTTGGAGTTGAGGGCGAGGTCGGGGAACTTGGCGCAGCGCGGGCCCAGCGAGAGGTCGCCCAGCTGACCCACCAGGTCGTCGTGCGCGGGAGGCGGCGTCTCTTTGCTGACGCGCCGCTTCGGCTGGCAGGTGCACTTCACGGTGGGGATCTCGTCGGTGCGGGGCAGGCTCTCGAGGACCACCTTCAGAAACATGTTGCCGCCGATGCTGGTGACGGGGAACCGGTGGTCGGTGGGCGTGCGGCTAAATTCGGTCATCTTGTAGCTCTCCCCCGGGATCTTGATGGAGTAGACGACGTTCAGCTTGCGCTCCTCGGTGGGCGGCTCCTCCTCGTCGCAGTTCGCTTCCAGTTTTTTAAAGTTGCACGTTTCGCGGCTCAGCTTCCGTCTGCAACGTGCAAGGTAAACATTAAGCAGTGTGCTGAAGGCCCCGTAGGTAAAACTCATTACGGTTATACTCGTATAAGAAACGTCAATAGCTGTGCGTTACCGTCGCTCGTTGGGATCGGCTTGTGCGTGGGGTGGTCCTTGCTGCAGCGTGGCGCGCCAGGCGGCCAGCTGCGAGAAGTGCAGCTGCGAGCGCACCGCGTTCAGCAGCCACTGCGACGTCGAGAACCCCGGCGCCTCGTGCCCTCTGCAACAACACATTAAATTATATGTAGTTATACAGACTATTGAAAAATCATTTTTGTCGGTTATTATCGCAGTCCTTATGTTGAGGCCTACTTGTTAAGCAGTGCGCGCATCGTCCAGCGCTCGAGCAGCAGCAGCGGGGGTGCGGGCCGCGCCTCGTACGCCAGCTCGCCGCCGCCCAGCGCCGCGCGACACTGCGTGCACTCGGGCGCCAGCAGTACCTGCGACACCGACGCACACTACCATTCATATACCGTGCTTTCCTTGAAGTAACATATAACATGCCACATTATATACCTTTCTTCACCACCTTGCACTTTTTATGGCTATACTTTCAAACTTTGACAGCACATACAACAGTTGTAACTTGATTGATTTACTGACCTCAATACAAACGGGGATCTGTTCGTTCCAGAGCGCGGTCACGTGGCTATCCAACTGCTCCTCCACGGCGGACTGCGGCTCCGGGCACTCCACATTCGATTGCGGCACCACCTGGAAGGTGAAATACACCATGTTTTATTAATTATATAATTTTGGTGATTAGTGTTATATAGGAAATAACGTAAATATGAGGTGAGCATACCTGACTGGTGGAGGGGTGTACGGCGCGCAGCTTGGCGGTGCGGCGCGCGGCGGGACTGCGCGCGCGCACGATGAGACGGCCGAGCTGACGCAGCAGTGCGGGGCCCGACGCCGGCGCCACGGCCAGGGGCGCCCCCAGCGTCGGCAGCGGCTCACAGCTGTGCATCTGCAAACACGTTAGCAACGGTTAGTTAGCAAAGTAGAATGTGAACTTAAAACCTGTCTGTTAAATAAATATGACTTTGTCAACAATATACAGTTACGTAAAATAATGTAATAAATAAACAAATAATATAAACCGTTTCTATTATTACTTGTGATAAGATAATTTGGTATCTGTGGTCATAATATGATAAGGAGTCCAGGCTGGCGATAGCAAGTACTAGGGCCGCATAGATAGGGAAGAACAATCGCAGAGATAGGCTGCAACGTCCGAACTAATCAGGTTACTGGGTCACACAAGTAGCAATAAAATTACTTCAAATGGTTTTTTTTTACGTTAAAGAAATAATACAAAGAAGTGAACATAGAA